CCTCAGCCTTCGTATAGGTTAGCAAACCTTTGGCAATGTAAAAACGTCCTTTAAATCCCATTTGCATGCTTTGCTACCCCACAGCTACATGTTCAAATGCCTCTTGGAGAGCGTTTTGAACAAACTGAACACAGAACATCCAACGTCAGATTTCCTCTTTCTCCTGCCCATCCCCTTCCTGCGTGTTTGCCAAAAACTTTCACTTCCTCAGTGACACTGACACCAGTACTGACCATCACTTCAATTGTGCTCTCCAGCTGCCATCTGTCCGGACCTAAAACACAGTCACGCTAGGGCAATCAGCACTGACTGAAGAGGTTCAGATATCACATCAAAATACATGGCAGGGATGGAATTGCCCTGGAGAAAAAGAGCTTCCACCCACTGAATCTAACAAATAAGAGACTCACGATGATGGAGCTGGCAATTTCAATAAATGCAGTAGATGTACTGTTACTTAGAATATTTCCCATGCCAATGACAAAACTGGGACATATTTTCATTATCAAGATAGATAGAGTAAAACTCATTCATAGGTCAGACCTACTAACTTACAAATACATCAGCATAACACAGGAATTGACTTCTAATGTTAACATTGTTGCAAGAATAGTCTAGTATAGTCATATATGAAAAGAACAAACCTGTTTATCAGCCAAATATTCTTACCTTTGCACTAACTTCTGTAATAACTTGTTTCAAGAAACAGCTTGAATATAAAATGCCATCAAAAAGAAAACAAACAAACTAAAGAAATAAAGTAGTTTCTATGTACTTATCTGTACAAACTAAAGAAGCAAACATAAAATAAGACAAAATATTAGTGGTTTACTGATATAAATCCACTTAACAGGCAATGAACTTTGTGACAAGCTTCCTGAAATGGCTTTCTGTTAAACCATCTAATAAGCAGTTAGGAACCTACCTCAGATAGAGTCCATTCCTTCCAAACTTTTCTCTGTTTCAGTAGGCTGAGCTTGCTAAAACAAAGAGAACTCCAAAAGCTATCATTCCAGAAGAAAAGATGTATCCTGTACTTCTATCCATATGGTGAGCTACCTAATTTTTTAGTTTTAACATCTCGCAGTTTGCTATTACAGGAACTTTTATATGAACTTCTCTCTATGGCTTGGTCAAATGAATGTATAAAGTAAAAAGGAAGCCTTTGCAAATCAAGTAACAAATTCTTCAATGCATCAACCACAGTTTAGACAGGAAGAACTAGCCCGTCCTCATGCAACAGAGACCATAGAGGAAGAAGGTCACACTGTACAGACCATTTATCTTTTCAGTACTTTGAGCTGACCACAGCACTGTGCAAAGATAGGAATCAGTTGTAGATACTTAAGATGCCAGCACTTTGAAACAGACAGGCGATGCTCTCCTAAAGTAAAGAGACGCTGGCCTGAGTAGTGTTGGTTTTCCATTTTTCTCCCAAAGAAATGAAATCTACTCATACACTCTTCACCTTTCCTACATGTCCTCTTACTCTCTCCAGCGGTGTTTGTCAGGATATCTTCTCTCTTCTGATGCTCAGCTGACAAAAACAACTAATTACTCACCCCAATGAATAGTTCTTCAGGGTATGCTATGAATACAAGTATTTCTTAAGTACTTGGAGCAAACACTTCCAGCACAAGATGCAGTTCTGCATTTACATTTTGTACCATGAACCCGCATCTTCAGAAAAGATGCCGAACACCACTGTGGATGATTCAGCCTCAGAAATGACACCATTTGATGACCACATCAACAGGAAACGCATTTGCATCACACAAAAATCAATAAGAAAGCACAGACATTTACATCCTTCCCTGAAGGACAATTGCCATTTAAATTTAAGCTAGGAATATACACAACACGGACAGTTACTTAGTATTTGCTTTCTGTTAGTATAAGCTAGTTTCTTTGGGAAGGTACTGTAGCTGTTTGTAGTAGGGCAGTCTCCTCCTACTTGTTTGCTTCACTACAGGCTGTTGGCTGTTTTTATTTCAATGTAATTTTATATTGCTTATCTACACAGTTTCCTGCGGCATCACTTGGTAAGTTGGGAAGTCTTTCTCTCTTTAGCACTCCTACACTCATATGAAAGAGATTACACAAATAAATGAGAGAAATAAAGCAGCAGATAACTAACAAAAGTGGGAATATAGCCTGAAAGAAAAACCAGGCAATGTTTATTCTACAGAATGAAGCTGCTACTCACAGAGACAGAAATGCTCTAAGGATGAAATAACAGACTGTTTAACAGATACGCGTGATTTTGTGCAATTATTTATAAACTCAGCTCCACAGATCCATGAGGAAGTATCACCAGCTCGTTACCAAGCTCACACAAGGATTCCCAGTCAGTGAATTCTCCTCTCATCCCTAGCACTATCACATGACATCTTGCATTCTTTGGGGATCACTGGTGTTGATCAACGCAACTCTGTGTATAGATGTGCTGCCACAAGCAGAGTGCAAGGAATCCTACTCCATGTTTACTGTCCCTTCACCTTTTTTTTTTTTTTGAAACCCTTCATGCTGTGCCTCATCTGCTTGTTTTCTGTGCTCATTTAGTTTTGCAAAGACCTGCCTTTACAAAGAACTCCGTGAACCCCAGGAGTAAAATTGGTTCTACACTTCCCTGAACACAAGAAATAAAGTCACAGCCGCCCTTTGCTCAGAACACACGTGTATGAAGAGCAGGAAAGACCTTGCTTCCTCCTCAGATCTCCCAGCGCATCAACAAAAACAGAAATTGGCTCACGGCCACTAGTTTTCTTCTCAAAAACCTCAGAGATGTTCATTAGGATTCCAACATGCAAAATACAGATAGAAAAGAGCCTCCTTTTCAAGACGGAAATGGAATCACATCTCAGATTAAATGCTGCAGTTCTTAAATGCTCCCGAATAGCTATAGATGGGTCAAGCACCTCTCTCCAACATGCAACACAAGGAAGGCCAGCCACTGTATCTCTGGTCTTGTGAGTCACCACATTACAGCTCCTAGGGCCTTGGACTATCTGCAGTGCGTGTTTTAAGAATTCCTTCCCACAATACCTGCTGCTGCCTGATGCTATTTACCTTACAGGAGCCAACAAAGTCATAAGAAAGGAGCTAGCTTCAATTACGCAGATAAAATAGAGGAAAACAGTACACAAGAGAGCTGCTTATACATTCCCAAGTACATGCAAAAGAAAACATCATATTTATGGAAATACACTTGAAAGCATAACGTTAAAAGCAAGGAATATTAAACATCTGAAAGGCAATTGGGTTTTACTTCATATGTGCAAGTTTTGTAATTCATTGCACTGTCAGTAAAAGTCATTGCACAATTCTGCTGGTCAAAGGCACTTACAAGGCGTCAGCCTTTCCTTCATACAGAAACAAACCGGAAAACATATAGATGTAAACAACCTCAACTTTATTTATTCAACAAACTGCAGGAGAAAAGCAGAATGACTTCAAGTCAGACAACTACTGTACTGACTAGAAAGTTCATTCTACACCATTATGGTTAAATATATATATATATGTCAACATCATACAATTAAAATAGAATTCCATGTTATTAAGTCAATTCATTTCTAGCTAGTCTATAGCTCACAAAACTGAAAAGGAGAAAGAAAAACACCACAAATTTCAGAAGAGAGAAACAGAATGAGAAATCTGTTGATCACAGAATTCATTAATTTTTAATCTTTGCCCAAGACTTTATAACATCCTATTTAACAGCATCAAAGTGATTTCTGCTGCAGCCTGTTGCTGCTTTTTCAGAGAAAGCTATGATTTTTCTCACACACCCTTCAGTGTTGGTGGTGGTACCTACTGTAAAGACATGAAGTTCTATCACAAAGCACAAGCAATGCCTTCTCCGCATACAGCACTGGGTTTGAAACAAGTCCCATGATGTGATTCTCTTTGGTAAAACTGAGCTGTTTCAGCAGTGTAGCTTAGCCATTTCCCAACAACAACAACAAATATTTTTTTAATAAGGAAAAAAATAACTCTTTAGTAGTACTACGATCGGCATAGAATTACCCCCCCCATTCATACCTGCAGCTAACATTAAGATGTCTAGATTACAGAACTCTTTCAGGTCGCTTCCAATTGGCATTTGGTTGTGCTAAGATGGGATGGAGCTGACTGGGATTTTTTCAAAGGTGTGAATGAAGGGCAAGGGATGAGGTACTGATCAGGGGGCTAAGGGAAAACAATAGAATAAGAACCGTCGTGCTCCCTATACATAGGGAGGGAAGTCATATCCGTATGTGGATATACAGGATATTTCCTGTATAGATGTGTATACACGTAGCTAAGCAGATTTTAAGTATTAATCTCTTCAGTTTCTCGCTCCAACTGAGGTCAGTGGAGCAGGAGGACGAGTTCTCATGAATGCATTTGCTGCCAACACGCAGGAGATGCAATTTCAACAGAAATGCCAAATGCAGAACTACACAGACCTAACCTGACACTCAGATCCGAAATCAAAATCAGGAGAAAGCCCCCGGCGACCACTCCTTGGGCACACAGCATCGTCACGGCAGCAGCCAGCAGGAAACACCACATAAGAAACACCACAATGCCGTTTTCTTTTAAGCCAAAGTACGCCTGAGCGCACAGCAAAGAGGAAGCAGCTTTAAGCTGGGCGATGCTCCAGAAACTATTCCTCCTGGAAAAAGCAATTGAGGAGGAATACCCGGGGGCCACCTCTCCTCCTGAGGCTGCTGTTCTGCCTTCAGACACCCGGCTCCGAGCAGCCTGACACAGCAAGCAGGGCACAGCGACAAGAAGTAAAACGTTCTTCTGCGACCCCAACTGCCCCAAGACCCTCCAGGCTCCGCCGTCCTTCCGCCCTCCCCGCGCCCATGGAGCACCCCGAGCAGGAGCTCCTCGGGCCGGCCGGCTGCCCCCCTTCTCCTCCTCCTCCTTCTCCTCCTCCTCTTCCATCCCGCCTCTTCCAGCTCCGACTCCCGCCCGCAAAGCGGCCCCTGGGCGGCGGAGGCACTTACTTTCCCGGGTGCGAAAGTTGGGAAGCAGCGAGGAAACTCCACTGTTCCCGGGGGCTGCCGGGCGTGAGCTGCGGAGCGCGGCGCTGCTGCCCCGCCGGCCGGGAGACGGGCGCAGCCGGCGGAGGAACTTCGCTCCGCTTCAGGCGGTTGGCTGGGAGGTTCTCAGCCTACTTCCTGGTGCGGGGCTGCAATTTGCATGCGGACGGGCTGGGGGAAAGCGCTCTCGGTAGGAAGGTGTGGGCCAAGGCTGCTTCGAGGCCGGGCTCGCTGTCCACTGCCAGCTCGGAGAGCCGTCGGCCGGGGGTTGTTGGGGTGTGAACGGGACGCGCTGGCGCAGCCCCTTGTTGGAGCGGAGCTGCCCCGAGGCAAGGAAGCTCCTGGAGGAGCAGGAATGTGTCCTGTGGAGAGGAGCGAGGTGTGGCAGGAGCTATGAAAGAGACCGCTGCCTGGCACCAATGGGAGTATGGCAACCGTGACTGGGAGATAATTGTATGGCCTTCGTTATGTGTTACAACGGGGTGTGACAGTGCTAGCCCCAGAGAGAAAACTAAAGAGGTTAATTGTTCCACTAACAGCCTTAAAAATCATGGGCAACTTTTTCGGTGCCTCTAAGATCCATGGGGGCTGGGAGGCCAACTGTATCCTGTGCTGCATCACAAGAGGGGTGGCCAGCAGGGAGAGGGAGGGGATTGTCCCCCTCTGCTCTGCCCTTGTGAAGCCCCATTTGCAGTACTGTGTCCAGGTCTGGGGCCCCCAGCACAAGATGGACACGGAGCTGTTGGAGTGGGTCCAGAAGATAATCAACCTAAGCCATTCTGTGATTCTGTGAAGACTGCAAAAGCTGGAAAGCTGGCTTGGGAGAAAACAAAGAATGGCTTACTAGCCTGGTGAAAAGTGAAATAAAATCACATAGATCAGCAAAACTCTAAACAGGAAATAAGGGTGTGTAGACATACTGCCTAGAGGATGCAGCTGATCAGCACAAGAACTGGAATCAGGACATCACGTGTGTCCTGCCAGGCCACCTGGGCAAGTTCAAGTCATGGGGATTTCAAAGGCAGAAATTCAAAAGAAAAGCTTTTATGCTTTCAACATATGAAGACCGTGGAACAAGTTTGGAGAACAATAAAAATGGCAGTAGCCACAAGATGCGCTAAAGTATCTCTGCATCCTTTTTAATAAGGCCCAACTAGGAGTAGAGCTGGTGAGGCCTTCCGTCGGAGCATCCCAGTGACTGAAAGTATCCCAAAGCAGCTCATACCCTATGAGGTTAAGAGAAGAACCTAAACTGTTCCCAGGAAAGCAAACTGATAATGGAACATACAGAACTCGGGCACGGATCTGAAGGTCTGCCACACACAGTGATGTACAGTTGGCACAATCACTCAACTAGAACGCACTGCAGTCCTCTCTCTAGGCTGTGGCTTGAGCACCACTACCTTGATGCCACAGAAAGCTGTATTTGTAGAAGCAATCAGAATGTGATTTGCCTCATTTCTAAATCAGTCCCACCTGTCCTATTGCTAGTGACTCATGCTTCCCTTTTCCTTTACAGGATAAGTTCCTTGGTCTTGTATCTTGGAGAGAAGTGGTGAGCAGAGCCCACACTGGCCTTCTTTTCTTTCCCATTTCCTCTCTCTGCTTGTTTTAAAATTCACTTTCTCCCACGAAAGCATTATTGCAAATAAAATGGAACCGAGTTTTATAAATGTATAATCTAGAGTTTAGAGATCTAGTAAAATGCAATCTCGCCTATAGTGTGAATAATTCAAAAGAATCAAAAAACTTTAGAAGTGTCCTCAGTGGGCTGCTATCAAGTATTAGATCCAGCAGGCGTAGCAGAAACTAATCCGTTCTGCCCAGAAAGAGCTAATACATAGAAGAATTGAAGTAGAATAAATATTTTGTACTTTCTAAGAAAAAAAGACAGGTTGTTGGTATCATTTGAAATAAGTCACCTTTTTATGCACTGTAATTCCTTCTCGTAAGACAGATATGCACCAAGTCTAGCCTTGTACAGCATAAGCAGGAAAGGAACTCTCTTTAATTATATACTCATCAAGAAGGAAAAATAAAGACTTGCTTCAGCCTCCCTACATCTTTGTATCTACTGCTAGTCATGTATTTTAAAATGTCTTTATGTTTAGATCAGGAAAGTTGGTGGGTATGGGGAACATAAAATGGAATGTGAAAGAAACTTCATGCCTATCACTGCACTGAAAGTCCTCGTAAAAAAGTCTTGAATTCTGTTAGCCAGCTAGAGTTTATACTTGGCAATTTATTTTCTGCTTTGGGCAGGCTTGATTCCCAGACTATGTTGCTACTACTGAATCAAACATGGCTGCAAGACAATTCTGTGCCAAGGCCAGCTGGCTCTGTAACAGCCCATGGTGTCCGCACTGTTAAACTCTCTTGGCATCTCAAATAAGGGGACTACATGCAAACTCCTGTTTGAATAGTCTCTGGCCCATGTTAACTTCCAGATCAGCTCTGGAAATTTTTGAGAGTGATAACTGGCCTGGGCTGAGAATGAAGCTAATCTGTATTCTTGGAGCTCCAACGTCCAGCAGTGTTCCCTCAGGCACTGTTAATTATTGTCATATACATAAGCCTTTAGAGTCTTTAACAATCCTATTATTCACTCATGTAGGTGGTTACTGAACCAGTCATCATTTAGGCTGTATCTGGGAGAACATGTTAGCACTAAATGTAGGGGACAATGTCTGACAGTAAATTAGATTTTATCACAGGCAATGCAAACAGCAGGCTTCAAAAGAAATGTGTCTCTCACTGTTTCTACTCCCTGCTTCCACAGCTTCTGATTACTTTCTATGCTGTGCTTGAAGATGATGTGCTAGAAGAATGCTAGTTAGTCATGAAATCATAACTGTAGCATCCAGAGCAGTCATTTGAGAGATCTCAAGGAACACTCAGGTTCAATCAATGCAAAAAAGCACGGAAAAGATCACTTTGTTCCAAAATAGGTTTACAGAGATTTAAATTCTTTGTAGAATGACGGGAAGGGAGATCAAAGATGCATGCAAAGCTAAAACAATAAATAATCTGGCTTTGTACACTGAGGCAGCTTTGGAGCCTTGTTCTCATTTCATTGACAGCGTAATATATTTTCTTCAGAAATTCCAGCATTTATGTGGTCACTGCTCGCATTGTTTTTCTATATTTTATTTCTTCCTCGAGAGATTATCATTAAATAGTTGGAGCCCGAATTGTTACCCCTCTTTTGAACAAAGTGATTTTTAAAGAAGCAGTGAAAAGTGAATTATAAGCAAAAATGAAAGCAATATGTTTTGGTATTCATTTTCCAATGCCTCCTTCCCTATTGTACCCTGTGTTTGAAGGGGAAGATGGACTGAACATTGCAAGAAGATTATTTTCAAATTTTGTTTGAAGAAATGTGCTTTTCTTGATGAAGACTTTTCAAAGAAACTTAATGCACTCATATTTCTGGATATTATTTCACAAGTTCTCCTTTTTGTTTGCAGTTTGAAGCCTGGTGGAAAAAAAAACGAAAACAAAAAAACTTCCTAATTTCAATTTCAGCTCCATTGCAATTATTTGAAATGTGACCTGTCTTACTTTATGATCAGATTTGCATGCTGACTTTTCTGGATGATTTAAAAACACTTTAGGGGATAATGGGCAGATCCCTATTCGGCTCTTCCTGCGTTTGACCTGTCATTCAAGCTAACATGGCACCTACTCAGTGGATTCAAAGAGAGGAATCTTTCCTGTGTCTATTGCACAGCCCGCTATGTTTTATTACACTGATATTTTTGGGTCATTAATCCTAAAGGCACCCTTTTTTTATTTCATCTAGTTTATTCAAATTCCCATGAATGAGCCATAGTAATACAGCACATAGGAAAAGTTCTTACCTTGAGATACTCTAATTTTTGAAGTAAAGAAAAATCTCCTTCTTCCGTGTCTTTGCTGATCTTAGATATTTGATTCACCCACCATTACCTTTTTATTGAGATACACAGGAATCCTTTACCCCTCCCCTGCCCCCCAACTTGTTTCATGTCTGTGAGCAGAAATAAATGCTCATTAGTGAACCAAAGCATGTTCAGCAGCTAGCAAGTTTGAAAACTGGTTGCAATGAGCTTAGTTGTGTTTGTGGCATGGCACTCAAGTATTGTGATGGAGACTGAAAATGGCCTATGTGTATTCTGTGAACTGTCCAAATTGCCTTCCTCCAAGAAGTGACAGATCAAGTGAAACATCTTCATTCTCATGAATATCATCTTGTTCACAGAGCCAAGAAAAGCAGCCGCACTTCACAGCTCATTCATCTGGGCAACAATAAGAGTGAGCTAGCAAACAAGCTGTTCCATGAGACCTTCACTTTCAAAGATTTGCAGATTCCTTTTTTGGTCTGATGAGGCTGCCCACCCTATTAAAGTGTGAATTTTATTTAGCACACGGTTCTGTGACACTAATATTAAATTACCCGAAAAAAACAGCTTTGAGCTAATTCAAGAGCAGGTGTGTGGTCATTTCAAATTAGAAAGATTGCACAGTAGAGACATTTTTGTTAGAATGGATTTTTTTTTGCAACCTTGAGCAATGGGCCTTATGCCTGATCTCAGCAGCCTGATCGGGCATCCAGCCTGCATCTTCCTTGTCCTCTGTCACGTGAAATGTTAGTGCAGAGGCAATGTAGTGCTTCTGAAGGTGGCTTCCAGAGCGAGCTGCTGCAGAAGTATATCTTTCCAAGATAGTTTTCATGGAAAACTTTCTCACCAAAATGAATCAGGCCACCATTGGCATTTCTGCTGTGCAACACCAGTGTTTAAGCCACTCTTGAACAGCTGCAGTAGCAGTAGGAAAGCAGTCTTTTTTCCCGGCCACAGCCATGCAGTGATATGAAGCATCCCTTCACAGTGCAGCTTTTGTTTTCCTCTGGAGTAGCAGAGCATCAAGCAACATATGTGGACATGGAATTAATGAAGTCACTTGGTAGCACTGCTGAAAACATTTGGTACTGGTCAAAATTATCATCCCTGTCCCCTTGTTCCCCAGGGTTTGTGACAGCAGCTCTTGTCTGGGACTGAAAACACAGTGCCACTGAGCATCAGGAAGATTGTCTGTTATTTTAAACCTAAAAACACTAATTTTTGCTTGTACGTTGCCAACTAGC